GGGGGGAGACTCCCAGGAAGCTAAGCAAAGGCTGAAACTGTAGAGTTCTTCTTAGGTAGGCCAGATGGGAACATGATGCATCTTATTAGATGCTCACAAAGACACTATTCCAAATTCTAACCATCAAAAACTAATTTCTAAGAGGATAAAAATGTTTCCTCTTTAAGAGATTATCAGTTACACAGATCCAAGAAACTTTGCCTATGGGGGTGGAGGTAAAGTCAGGAGAAAATGCAAGACTTTTGCTGTGCTCTCAGATACATTATTGTGAGACTAGAAATCAGCATATACAGTTACATATTTTTGAAAAAAACTTCTTAAACATCACTGGCTCATCATACCACAACAAAGTACCACAAAGGTACCCACGTGTGACTTGTGTCTATTATCAATTCACTGTAAGAATTTAAGGCATGTGAAACCTATGGCTTCATGATTTCACTTCTTTTGACTTCCAACCAGAAGACATGAGCTAGGAAATGACTGACAGTGTTAACATTAACAGTGAAGCAAACTTAATTATAAAATCAAAGGAACCCAGGAATTTGAGAGTTACCCCATGGTTCTTTATATTCCCTCTCCAGATGTGAGAAAGAAAAATCTGCCCAAGATGTGTGACAGAACTGTAGGTAAGACTGCAAAACCTCACATTTAAGGCTATGGGGAGGCACACATCACAGGGCCCAAACTACCACCTACGTTCTGCTCTGGGAAGTACTTTATGACATCTGCTCTAGGGTATTCAAAGTTTCCTCTCTGCCTAGTATTGACTGAGTTCTGTAACACAGCTAAAAACTGTTCTAATCATTTAAAAGATGTCAGATTTACACTTAATATATACCTTAGCAAATCCATTAGAAGGCACAAGAGAGTGTAAGACAAGTTCTGGAAAGGACTCAGACTGTCTTCTTATTTTCTGCTCAAGATACCAGTCAAGAAAACTCAGCACCTTAGCCTCAGTCCTGGGCATTAAGAGTTTGTCTTGGTTGTGATTTCACAACTTTCACAGACAGCTGCACATCCCAAGAGAGCCCTGTCACTCGTGAGGGCAGAGACTATGTGCAATGAGCAGCAAAATGTATTTGGATGTCTGCACATGGTGTGTATTTGCATTGCTGCAGAAATGTAGCCTGGTCCATTGAAAGCATGGTTGACAAAACAATCAATCCTCAGAGATGCCACTTCTTCAACAACTGCAGAAGAAAGAGTAACATTCTGGCACAGAAAATCAGAAGGAGGGCAGCAAGTATAAATGCAAGTCTATAATTTCTATTTCAAGCAACATGAGGTAGGAGGAGGTCCAGGAATTAAGGCTAAAATCTCTCAATGAAAGCAACTAGATGATCTTCATAATTTTGAATGTGAGTAATATGTCAGTATGCACTGTATACATTCTGACACAAACTTCAGGCAAGTTGAATACACAAAAAATAAAACCAGGAAGAGTACTGGATATGTGACACCAAATCACCCAGTTCAATGCTTACCTCCTAAAATTGGAAGCTCTTTTACCAAAGTATTCCCTTTGGTAAATACTTTTAATGAGACTGCCCCACAGAGATTCACCTCCTCCAAGTGTCCCTTCTCTTTCACCTTTGATCCTTCCTTTACTCTTAGCTCTGCTGTTGAGGTACTGTATTTTAAACTTCAGAGAAAAGGTGTAGAGTAGGGTGTAGAAGGGATGAGGGAGCTCAGACAAAGAAGAAACAGGAACGAAGTTAAACCAAGACATGAACAGAGGGGAGAGACTTTGTGCTAGGCCCACTTCTGCCAAAGTCACAGAATTTAGTGCTTAATGGGTACTTTAATTATCAGCTTATCAAAACAACACTCTGAGAGAAACTGTTGCTGAGGGGAAATTCCTTGCCCTAGTGTATCTATTGTTGATTACAGGGAGGGATTAATCCACCAGATATCTAAATCTACAAGCACAAGACAGAAATGTTTGGGACCAAATCTAAAAGACAGGACTTTGGAGACTGAAGGCAAAGAGAAGCATGAGGAGGGCAGCGGAGAGCATTCCAGAGTCTCAGGTGGCGCTGGATGTGGAAAAACACTAATTTCTGGATACCTTAAGGTAGGCTCGCTGAAGGTAGTTGTAAGGCACTCTGCGCTGGAAGTCGCTGCGCACATCTTCGCTCACGCGGTGGCGGGACGCGGGTCCCTCGAGGCGCTGGGTCTCGCAGCTGCGGTAGCAACGCGCCCGCTCCAGCAAAGCACGGAAGAAGGGCAGCTCAGCACCTGGGCCGGCGCCGGGGGGCGCGAGCGGGCGGCGCGCGGCACAGTGGCGGGCGCAACGCGCGTGTATCTCCCGCAGTCGCTGGTGGCTGCGCAGCGCCGCTTCCAAGTCGCGCACGGCGCTCGCGTAGTCCCCGCTGTAGTAGGCGGCCACGCCACTGGCGTAGAGTAGGTCGAAGGGCTGCAAAGGCCCGGGCTCAGTCTCCAGCTCCCGGCGCGGGCTGTCTGGGGGACCGGCCCACAGCGATCGCGGTAGCAGCAGCGGCAGCAGCAGTGACACCCAAATGCGCTCCTGCATCTTCCGCCGCAGAGAGGGGCGGAACAGCCACGCTCCGAGACGGCTCCGGGGCACCTCTCGTTCAGCCCCCTCTCCCACCTCCACAGGCGATTGCGCGGGCCCTGCGGCGAACAGCCTGCCCCAAGAGCCCCAGGTGACCGCCGGCGCTCCGCAGACTGAGAGGCGGAGGCCTTGCCCGCCGACCGCTTTTAAAGGGACGCCCACAGCTCACATGCTCCTCCTGCTGCCCGAGCCTTCGCGAGCCACAGGCCGGCACTCAGCGCGCACCCTACAGGCTCCAGCCAGGGCGGCAGACCCAAGTGCCAGCCAGAGGGCGAGAGCAGCCGCATGAGGCCAAGCTGGGTGAGGAGCTTTACACGTGGGGTCCCTTCTAGGTTGCAGAAGTGGATATTGTTGCCCTATTATTAGAAATGAAGGAAAGCTTGCTTGGTAAAGTTAGAGCACCAAACATTTTATGGTGCATAACCTTACAGTTTTCAGAGTACTCTTGACTCCATTGACTCATTGAAGCTTCATCTCAGGTCATGAGGAAAGCATTGTAAGGCCCCTTGGTCCACTTACAGATGTTTGAGAAGAAAGGTGCTTTGCCCACGTTTGTAGAACTGAGAAATGGCAAAAGGCAGGCTCAATTCTTGGTCCTTTGGACTAAAAGATGACTGCTCCTTCACTTAGGGCGGGGGGGGGTGTCTCATCCTACTCTGTGTGAGTATATGTGCAGGTGTGTGACAGCAGCAGGACAAGAGCAGAGGAGTAGCATTAGATAACCCATCTTTCTGCGCAGAGGGCGGTATTACAAGACCCTGAGAACTGCTCAAGGAAGGAGCGACTATACTTTTCATTCTGCCTCTTTCGATTTACCATTTGTGCAGCTTTGCAGCAATGGGCCTCAGTTTCCTCATGCCCTACAGCTGCCAAACATTACAAAATGTCAAATGGTATTCAGATATAAATTCTTATTGTAAGAGTTGAACAAAGAGGCAATTTAATGAATCCAGTATCCCCAGGATTTAAATAATGAGCACCAATCTAGGAATGGGAAAGCTGACAGAAATGGTTGCCAGACTCCAAGGGAGTAGCTAAAGGCTTTCCTGTTGCTCTGATTCTCTTGCTTCTCCTTCTTAATAAATGCTTTCACAAAAGAGGTATGCCCCTTCTTCCTGTACCTTGGCTCCACATTCTCAGAGATGCCTGTGAGCTTTTGCACCAGACTCTTTAGTCTATCTCCTGGAGGCATTCTTGTAGTCTCCTGGTGCCTGTATAGTGAACTAGCAGAGTCTCCCTGGCCACTGGTATGGTGAGTGGGAGAGATGGGCAACTAGAAAGAATCACATGTATCATGTATTTGATAGGAATTTCCCAAAGAAGGCTTTTGTATGGAATCATCACAATGCTGAGGAGGTTGCCAGAGTTTCATACTCATTTCTTCATTTATTTTATTGGATTTGACCATGCTGGCCATGAACAGCCCTGACTGTATAACTCCAGGGACAATAAAGAATCATGCTTTTATTATTTTTCTCCACCAAACTTCATTTATTTGGCTCATCCCATTCATGGAAAAGTTCCAGTTTAAAGCTGAGTGAATGCCTTGGATGTTCAGTGTTCCAGAATTTGTACTTTAGTCATCTGTCCAGGCTTTTCCTTCAGGGATTGCCTCTGTTTTCAGATAAAGATTCTAGAATCCAGAGTTATCAATCCACTTGTCTTTGGGATCGAGATAAAAGTACCAGAATGTTGTAATATACACAGGTCTACATTTTATGACATTGCTCCATTATTTAATATTTTTGGTGGTGTTAGGTGCCGTCAAGTTGGTTCTGACTCATAGCGACCCTATGTAAAATGGAACAAAACACTGCCCTGTCTTGTTCCATCCTCACAATCATTGCTGTGTTTGAGCCCATTGTTGTAGCCGCTGTGTCAATCCTTCTTGTTAAGGCTCTTCCTCTTCCTCACTAACCCTCTGCTTTGCCAAGCATGATGTCCTTCTCCAGAGACTCAACTTCCTGATAACATGTCCAAGGTACGTGAAAAGAAGTTTCACCATACTCACTTCTAAGGAGTATTCTGGCTGCACTTCTTCCAAGACAGATTTCTTTGTTCTTCTGGCAGTCCATGGTGCATTCAATATTCTTTGCTACCACTATAATTCTGGTGGCGTAGTGCCTAAGACATGTGACTGCCAACTAGAAAACTGGTGGTTCAAACCCACCAGCCACTCCTCAGAAGGAAGGTTGGGCAATCTACTTCCTTAGTGATACTGCCTCAGAAACCGAAGGAGAAGGGTTGCTATGAGTTGGATTTGACTTGACAGCAGTTAGTGAGTGAGGGAGACTGCTATAATCCAAATACATCAATTCTTCAGTGTTTCTTATTCAGTCTCCGGCTTTCACATGCATAAGAAGTGATTGAAAATACCATGGCTTGGGTTATATACCTCTTAATCCTCAAAGTGTCATCTTTGCTTTGAATATTTTAAAGAGGTCTTTTTGTAGCATGTTTTGCACACTGCAATATATTATTTGATTTGACTGCTGCTCCCAAGGGCACTGATTGTGCATCCAAGTAAAATGAAATCCTTGACACCTTCAGTATATTCTCTCTTCATCATGCTGTTGTTTATTGGGCCAGTTGTGAAGATTTTTATTTTCTTCATGTTGAGGTGTAATCCATATTGAAAGCTGTAGTATTTGATCTTCATCAGTGAAGTGTTTCAAGTCTTCACTTTCAGCTAGCAAGGTTGTGTCATCTACATATCACAGATTGTTAATGAGTCTTCCTCCAATCCTGATGCTATGTTTTCTTCATGTAATCCACTTTGCCAGATTTTTCATTTGACCTACAGATTGAATAAGTATGGTGAAAGGATACAACCCTGATACACATCTTTTCTGATTTTAAACTATGCAGCATCTCCTTGTTCTGTTCAAATGATGCCTCTTGGTCTATGTCCAGGTTCCACATGAGCACAATTAAGTGTTCTAGAATTCCCATTTTTCCCAGTGTTACCTATAATTTGTTGTTATCCATACAGTCAAATACCTTTGCATAGTCAATAAAACACTGGCAAACATCTTTCTGGAATTCTTTACTTTCAGCCACGATCCATGTGACATAAGCAGTTTCATCCCTTGGTCCATGACCTCTTCTGAATCCAGCTTGAATTTCTGGCAGTGGCCTGTTGATGTACTGTTGGAACCATTTTTTAATTATCTTCCACAAAATTTTACTTCCGTATAGTATTAATGATACTGTTTGATAATTTCCACATTATGTTGAAATGGACACATATGAATCTCTTGCAGTCTGTTCATTAGGTAGCCATATTCCAAATTTCTTGTCATAGGTAAGTGAACACTTCCAGCATTGTATCCATTTATTGAAATACGTCAATTGGTATTCTTTGAATTCCTGGAGGCTTTTCTCTGCCAATGCCTTCAGTGCAGCTTGATCTTCTCTCAATACCATCAGATCTTGATCATTTATTACCTTCTGAAATGAAATTAATGTCTTTCAAGGCCTGCTGTCACCATAGGTATTCTGAGGAGAGGGAGAGATGAATAAGATGAATAATCTAGGCTCCTTTTCTTTGGGAAGATCACAATATTGTATGAGGGGAAAATATGATATAAAACCAAAACCAAATTCACTGCCGTCAAGTTGTTTCTGACTCATAGCAACCCTCATTGGGTTTCTGAGGCTGCAAATCTTTATGGAAGTAGATTTCCCAGTCTTCCTTCCACAGAGCAGCTAGCGGGCTTGAACTGCTGACCTTCTGGTTAGCAGTCAAGTCCCTTATCCACTACACTACCAGAGCTCCTTAAAACATGATATATAGGACTAAAATGCAAGCCAGAATGTGGTACATGTTGGGTAAGATTTAAAGTGCTACAGGAAACCAGAGGTTACAACGATGACTTCTAGCTAGAAAGATCTAAGAAAACTTGAAGGAAAAATTGATGTTGGTACAGAGGCAAAAGCCTAGAGTCTAAGCCATACCAATTTTGGAATCTTTCAAACCTTCTTAGTTACCTTGTCTCCTTCTGTACAACCTCTACCTGACTTTAGAGAAACACTTCAGTTGATAGCTCAAATTTACCTGAACATGGCTTCTGCTGAGAGAGATTCAGATGTAGCAATCTGGGGTATGGCCTGAGCCTTGGGATTTTTGAAATTTCCCCATGTTATTATAACATGAATCCAGGGTTGAGAACTACTATATAGAGTCAATGCCACAGTCCAAAGAGTAAATCTATGAGTGGGGGCTCCAGGTGCTGTGGGAGATTCATGAGTCTGAGATATTTGTATGAGGGCAGGCAGGGTTTTGTGATATTCCTCTGGTATTTCCTCCCCAAAGACTATCTGATCTGTCTGGGTCAAAATAAAAAGTTCGTGACTGTGAATGATTAAGGTTATGTGTCTACTTGGCTAGCTTATGATCCTCAGTGGTTTGACACTTATGTAATGATGAAGTTTGATAGTTATGTAATCATGTAGTTGTTGTCCATTTTGTTACATAATGTAATTATCTCCATGATGTTATCTGATGTGATCAGCCAGTGAGTTGTAAGGGGAGTTTCCTTGGGGGTGTGGCCTGCATCCAATATATATACAGATGTTCTAGCAAACTCCACTGGCCTTTTTGCTAGCTCTGGATTCTTCATCTGGCTCATCACCATTTGACCTGTGGTTGTTCGGACTTGAGCCAATGGCCTGCCTTATTGCTCAACAATCTTTGGATTCATCAGACTCCACAGCTATGTGTATCAGGAGAAGGCTGACCTCTGACTTATGGACTTGGTATTTGCCAGCCTCTACAACCCACCAGCCACTCCTCAGAAGGAAGGTTGGGCAATCTACATCCGTAGTGATACTGCCTCAGCAACCCAAGGAGAGGTTGCTATGAGTCAGATCTGACTCTACAGCATATAACAACAAAAACAGCAACAACTGCATGAGCCAGTACTTTGAGATATCTATATATCTATATATCTATATATATATATATATATACACACACATATATATGTTTTGTTGTTATTGTTATGTGCTGTTGAGTTGGACCCGACTTATAGCAACACCTCTTTGTGTTTCTGAGGCGGTATCACTACAGAAGTAGATTGCCCCATCTTCCTTCTGAGGAGTGGCTGATGAATTTGAACTGCCAGCCTTTTGGTTAGCAGTCAAAT